ACCGTGTGATTCCCAGACCACAGACTCTAACTTATCTTTAATGAATTTAATCTTTAAATTCATGCCGTTTTCGATCGCAATATCCATTGCCTTATATATTGCTTCGCTTTGATCGACGGCCACAACAAGTCTGGCGCCGGCTTTGGCTGCGAAAAGACTGAGTATTCCGGTTCCGCAACCGATGTCTAAAACTGTCTTATCTTTGAAAAAGCTTTCATTTCGAAGTATAGAGTTCTTATAGGCATTGGTTCTGCTTTTGTCGCTTAACATCTCGTAATGTATTGAGAAATGGGAATACGATGTGAAGTAATACGAGTCTTCAGACACCGATAGCTGCGAGACATTCACGTCCTGTGGGACAGCACTCACTCCTTCGTCAATACAGTTGTTCACTAAACTCTTCATATCTGACACCTCTTTCTCAAGTGTTTTAACGCGTTCTTCGGATTGTGTCAATCGTTGTACGAGTTGTTCATGAGATAAGTGTTCATAATTTAAATTATCATTACTTTTACCATCGGTTAACTCATTGTCGCAATCTTTGTATTCACTCTCAATGTCTGGAAATTAAAACAGATTTTACTATTTATTTGTATCGAAATTAAAGCCGAGAAATAAATACCGAAAGTGAGGAACGGATCCAACGGTTCTGTTAAGACTGGTTTCATATAGAGTTCCGATCGATAGTCATTGGATTGAATCAATTGTGTCATTGAACTGCTCTCCGGTCTCTTAAGTCGCGTATAATTAATAAGTTTTATGAAATCAAATGAATTTAATTTATTGTCGACACAAACGCTAATGAAATCCAAATCATGTCTAGTCTTCAAGTGAACCAAACAATCAGATATTGATCTCAATGTTTGGTCACAAAACAAACACAATGTTTCGCTCGACTCTTGTGTCCAATCTTCCAGTTCTTCAGCACTACTCCAATCCGAAGATTCATCACTTGATTGGTCGCCCATTTGGTCCCAAATTCAAGCCTATGTTCAAACAGATTGACCACAAAAGCAACGCTAAATCCAAAGACAATTGTGTGAAGACTTGTCCGGTATTTAAAAGTAGCCGAAAGTTTTGGTCCCAAAACTACAGACAAGTTATGGTTAAACACGTGTTAATCGTAAACAACGCGCAGAAAGTGTGTAACAGTTGTTGTGAACGAAACACAGACTCGTGTTTACAGTCATTGTATTGAATGAACGGTTCATTCAATTGAATGCAAATCTCATATGATTTGAAATTATTGTAAATATCGCCAAAAAATGGACACAAATAGCAATGATTTCAATGATCTGAAGGCCTGTTTGATGTCACCACTCGATGAACGCCTCAACGGATCCAAAGAGATAACGGATATGATATGCGAGATGTCATCCATACTGAAGACAGACTTAGATCCCGAAAGTCTCGTCATTTGCTTCAAACTCTTGGAGAGTGGCGTCAATCCGGAAGCGTTGGCCAAAGTTGTCCACAATTTACGCAAACAATCGCAAACACCTTAAGACATGTTCACTCCATAGCATCTATTTATTAAAATGCCATTTAAATTAACATTTTGTATCACAAATGTCTTGTATTTTACCATTAAATTCAGTCTAAAACCATAAACGACTCTAATTTTTATTTACTATTCAAATAAATTACATTCTCATTAAAACAGATATATTTTGTGTTACGAATCAAATTAATTCAATTTCAAGTTTAAAACAAATCTCAATAACCAATTGAGTGATAATTAAAAGAGCTATTAGTCTAAGGGCTCGAAAGTGTAGTGAACGACACCAGGCTTTGGGTATTGTTTGGGTTTCTGTCAAAATAAACATAATTACAATCAAATTGATTATTGAAATGCATTGATTGACGAGAGAGAAGACACATACCAACTGCCAGGCATTCCTCAGATCAAAGTAGGTGTCCGTTAGGGCCAAGAAGTACAAGAAGAGGAAAGAGCCCAAAAATGTGGCCACCATTTGAAGCCTGTATTTCACATAACAATTAGATTTGGTGTAAAACACGAGTCAAATGATAACCACTAGTGAGTGGACAATACATACGGTGTATATCTCAACGTCTCGTTAGGGTTGTGTCGATCGGATGTATAGATATCGTAGTCTATATTCAACTAAATGTTTGAATCAAATGTAAATCAATTAACAAATTATAGCATTAATGAAGAGTTGGTTTTTGAGAAGACAAACCGTTTCGCCATAGTTTCGTCGCCTGAAGTGATAGTCGAGATCTTCGTACGGATCCCTCACATCCTCGCCGACCGCCTGTTAGGTGTAAACAACAATATATGGGATCAGTTGTCGATATGCTGTGCAATAGTGATCGCAATTAATAGATAATTACCGGTAATTTGGGATAATCTCCATAACCGGAGCCCTCGGGATAGGTCTCGTAGTCCTCAGGGATCAGATTGTACTTCTTGGCCGCGGCGTCCCTTTCCTCCTGTGTCTTAGGATAGGGACCGGGTTTCCAGTCTCTGATCCAACCGCCTATACATCCAAACAATGAGTTAATCATTACTTTTCATTCAATTCAATGGATAAATGCATACAATTTCTGACTGCAATATAAGCCGTTTTATGGCTTTTCAAACCATTGTTTGCCAACAAATGGCTTATTTTGAGAGCATTTCTCACTATAAATGCCATTAGTTTTCATTCATATGAACCGTATTTAAGATGTAATTAAATGATAAACAATTGGATTTGTATTGAATTGTTGTAAACAGTGTTTACAATACAAACGATATAATCATATGATTTGCAAATCAGAGCCAATGCCTGTTGTGATCGACATTTGGCGCACAATTCAACACAATATGTTCACTAGATTTTGTATCTAAATTACCTCATCTAGATGTATCTTGATGTATAAATTATATAGTTTATATTAATTGTGTTGAATATTACATCCATTTTAGAATTAATATATAAATATTAACTACAATTTTAACGATGGTTTTAAATGAATGAAATGTAATTCTTACACAATAAGTGTAATTATTAATATTAGTGCATAATTTCTCATAGAATTAAAATTACCATAATGTTCACGGTATACAAAATGTGTAAAATTCATGTCTAGTTGCATGC